CCCCCAGGGGGCCCCCGGGGGCCCCTCAGGGGTGGGTTTGTGGGAGAAAAGAGGCCAAAGAGGGCTGGGCAAGGAGCGCAGCCTCGCGCACATCTCTTAACTTGGGGCCCTTGGCTATTGCTTCGCTGCTGAGGCCAAAAAGAGGGTACTGGAGGTAAAGGTCGCGCAGTGTGGGGCGGAGGGTGACTGCTGGCGTGAGCAGCAGGCGAATCAAACCCTGTACGCAAACCCTAAACCCTAAACCCTAAACCCTAAAGCCCAGGCCCTGGGACGGAGAATGCAGGCTCGAGAACAGTCACCGCACGTCCTCCCTAGTTACACGGCATTTGTACGGGACACTCACATGCAAACCCTACGTGCTGAAAGATCACCCCAAACCCTAAACCCTAAACCCTAAAACAGCGAAGCGAGACTCGAGGCTCGAGGCTCGAGAGGCCACAGCGCTGGCGCCACGCTGTCCCTAGTCCTGCAATTCTTTGAAAGGAACACCCGCTTTTATACCCTAAACCCTAAACCCTTAACCCTAAACCCTAAACCCTAAACCCTAGGAGACGCACCAAAATGAGGATTGGGGTGTCCGGGTGGCAGCCGGTGAAGTCCAAATCGTCTCTTGTTACATTCCCTATGGCCGCTGCAGCAAAAAGAGACACAAGTGGCAGACCCTTAAGCAGCAGCAGCAGCAGCACAACAGCAGCAGCAGCAGCTGCTGCTGCTGCAACAACTGCCGCTGCTGCTCGCGAACTGCTGCTGCTGCCGCTCCACCTGCCGCTGCCGCTGCTGCTGCTGCTGCTGCTGCTGCTGACCTGCGAGGTCTCCGGGCCAGACGTCGAAGGGGAGGGCCTTGCAGAAAAGGTGGAACAGCAAAACTCCCAAGGCCCAAGAGTCTTTTCTTTCGGAAGTTAAAATTTTTCTTTTTTCGTAAAGTTGACAACGCATGTTTTCCGGCGGCAAGTACCGCCGCGTCCCGTTCAGACACTCCGTGTTCTGGTTCGCCGGCTGCAGCAGCAGCAGCAGCAGCAGCACACGCGCCAGCTGCAGCAGCAGCAGCAGGGGCGGCAGGCAGCGGCAGCAGCAGCGAAAGCGGTGGCGGCAGCAGCAGCAGCAGCAAGAGCGGTGGTGGCAGCAGCAGCAGCCCAAAAGGCGCTGAGGGGCCCCCTGAGGGGCCCCTGCGCCCGGGGGGCCCCCCCTAGGCCGGGGGGCCCCCTCGGGCCTGCGGACCCCCTCAGGGGACCCCCCGGGGGGCCCCCCAGGCCCGACGGGGGCGCCCCCAGGGGGGCCCTTAGGGTGTGGGGGCCCCCAGGCGGGCCCCCCCAGACCCACAGGGGCCCCCCGGGGGCCCCCAAGGGTGTGGGGGCCCTCCGGGGGCCCCCTCGGGGGGCCCCCAGGCCCTCCGGGGCCCCGGGGGCCCCTAAGGGTGTGGGGCCTCACCGTGCAGAGCCCGTTGTCTCCCAAGTAAATTCTGCCGTCGTGGTGGACGAAAAAGTTTGGGGCTTTTATGTCGGAGTGCACGAGGCCCATTGCATGCAAACTCATCGTGGCGCTGCGCGCAAGCCCGCATGCATGCGTGCATGCATGCATGCATGCGCGCGTGCATGCATGCACAGCCCCACAGGCATGCATGCATGCGTGCTTGCATGCATGCATGCATGCAAGGCCTCACAGGCATGCATGCATGCATGCACGCAAAGCCCAACAGGCATGCATGCATGCATGCGTGCATGCATGCACGCAGCCAAAGCCCCAAGCGCTTGCATGCGGGCTTTCTTAGTCCCCACGAGCCTAGCCTAGGGTTTAGGGTTTAGGGTTTATGGGGAACTGGCAAGCGCTACGCATGAAACTCAATAGGGTTTAGGGTTTAGGGCTCAAGCCTAGGGTTTAGGGTTTAGAGCTTGGGGCCTAGGATTTACGGGTCAAGACAACGGTTTAGGGTTTAGGGGCTAGGGTTTAGGGGTCGAAACAAGGGTTTAGGGTTTAGGGTTTAGGGTTTGGGGCCTCACTACATGACTTGCTTGGCGACTTCTATGCGCACAGGCATTCGGCCTTTCCAAACTTCGCTGATGCTCAAAAGGTCCCCTAAACAAAAATGAAAAATAAAACAATAAATAATAAAACAAATAAATAAAAATAAATTAATTAAAAATAAAGGAAATAGGTCGAGAGTTGAGCCCCGCAGTGTACGTACACCTCAGCGGCGACAAGCAGGCGCATGCACAAGACACAGCAGCAGCAGCAACAGCAGCAGCAGCAACGGCAGCAGCAGCAGCACCACTAGTAGTAGCAGCAGCAGCAATAACAACAGCTTTATCGACAGCACCATCAGCAGCAGCGGTACCGGCAGCCTCTGCATCAGTTACAGCAGCAGCATCACCACTATGGGCTCCAGCCGCAGCAGCAACAGCAGCAGCAGCAGCAGCAGCAGCAGCAGCATACCGGGGAATACGTCGAAGACAACCCACTCCTGGGAGTAAATGCTGCTTTCTGTGTCTGTGTGGATTATCTTTTCTATGGGCTCTATCAAGTCCAAAGGCATCACCACTTGGGATATTTGAGACCTTAACACAAACCCTAGACCCTAAACCCTAAACCCTAAACCCCAAACCCCGACCCCAAACCCCAAACCCTAATCCCCAAACCCTAAACCCCAGATATGTCCCTTGTTCCTGCCACAAGTCCCACCCCGCCTGTCCGCGCCCCTCCCCTGCCCCGACCCCCAAACCCTAAACCCTAAACCCCAAACCCTAAACCCTAAACCCTAACCACTGCTGCACGTCGAGGGCTGGGGGCACATATTTCCACAGGGAAATCTCCTGCTGCACTCTCCGCTTCAGCACATCTTGGTCATACTGGGGGCCCCTTCTGCTGCGGCTGCGCAGCCTGCAGACTTTGACTGCTATCCGCCGCTTGCTGGAGAGGTCCACTGCCTGCAGCAGCAGCAGCAGCAGCAGCAGCAGCAGCGGCAGCAGCAGCAGCGGCAGCAGCGGCGGCAGGGGAGGCAGCGGAGTGGGGGGCGTGCGGGGAGAAGAAGCTCGTGAAGCAGTGCAGAGGGGGAAGCGGCAGCAGCTGGCAGAGTGGCTTGCGCTCTGAGGGTTTAGGGTTTAGGGTTTAGGGTTTAGGGTTTGGCTCACCGACAAAACCACGCCTATGCCCCCTGCGCCCAAAACGTCCAAAAACATTATTCGCATTCGCCCGCCCCGCCTGGCGGCACTTGTCACAACTACTTCTTTGTTGAAGCCGTATGCGTCCCTCCAGAGCGCCTGCAGCAGCAGCAGCAGCAGCAGCAGCAGCAGCAGCTGCAGCAGCAGCAGCAGCAGGAGTGGTGGAAGGCAGCACGGGGCAGGGAGGCTGCGCGCGGCGCGGCGCTCTAGCTGCGTGCAGGAGCGGCGCGGGGAAACTGGCTAAAACGCGCAAACTTCGGGATAAAAAGGATTTTAAAATATCAATTAATATTTATTTTTGTGATGTATTTATATTTAAGATATTAATTCAACATTTACGCGGCCACTTTCACACATTCAGCCCTGCAGAACCTCTAGATCTGCATGCACGACGCGCCAGCGCGCGCCCGAGGCGCAGCGCGCCAGAGCCGAGCCTCAGGTTCAGTTTGGGCTTTGCGAGATATAAAAAGGAATTTAAAAATTAAAAAATAAAATATAAAGCAAAAAGAAAGGGAATTAAAGTCGCAGCCGCCCGGGAATACGTGCATGCAGCGCTGCGACTGGCCAGCAGCAGCAGCAGCAGCAGCAGCGAAACCGCGGGAAAACCCGGACTAAAACCCATCAAAATGACCCCCCAAAACACCAAATTCCATTTTAATAACATACCCTTTCTTTGGAAAGCTCCGGGGGCACCGTTTCCCTCACCAACTCCTTCAGCAGCTCCGGCTGCAGCACCCGCGGGTCCGGCGACCACCGCAGGCCCCTCACCTGGGGGGCCCTTTTGCTCTCTGCGTAGAACTCGTGGGGGGCCCTGGGGCCCCGCGGCCCGTACGGCAGGGGCCCCTGGGGGCCCCCCTGGGGGCCCCCCTGAAACGGCCCCTGGGGGCCCCCCTGGTGGGGCCCCTGGGGGGCCCCCTGGGGGAGCACCTGGCCCTGGGAAGCGGCAGCCCCGGCCTGGGAGGGGCCCCGGACTGGGCTCGGGGGGGCCCCCTGGGGGGCCCCCTGGGGGG